ACACCATATAAAGGTTGTGATAAACTTGCACCACATTATAGTTTTATGCATCAGTTTTATTGTTCAGCCATCTACCGTCTTTTTTTAAAGTGTACTTTAAATAATATTTTATTTTGACATAATACTAAATTTCTATTTTGCTTTCTCAAGTTCAAAATCTTTCTGAAAAAATTCAACTAAAAATTCACATAAAAACCTTTTAAAGATTGTGTTTTTAAGTGTGGCTCATTTTCTTTTCTCATTGAGAAAAAAGGAATGGTCGAAACTACCAGAATATGATAACATTTACCGTGTTTCTGGCTCTATGGGAACACCATAAAGCTTGATAATTTTTATCAAAACGCTTTGATAATGATTTTTTGTAAACTTCTCCTTAAAATATGGTTTTATAATATGTGATAAAATGTGATAAATTTGGTAAAATTTGTCGAATTTATTGTGATACCTTAGAGCATGGAATGAATATCATTTATTCCTAAAAATTTAATTTTCTGCATTGTATTGTTTGTTAACCACTGCAGTTTTGAAGGCAATAAAAACTACAATTTTGAAAACCAAATTTTCCCGAAATAGCTATCATATGAACGAAAAAATTACCAAATGAATGGTTTAAAGAACGTATATTTTGGTTTTATTATCAGAATATTTGTGTTTTTCTATTTACCGGAAATGTCATTAGCTTACGGTATGCAATAACTTCATTAACTCAATTTCAAACATTTTTATTCCTCAATTTATTCATACCATATTTTGTTTTGCATTGTTCAAAACCTCTTAGTGTAGCTAAAATTTATAATATCGTTCCCAACTTTCTAAAATAAAACAGTGACTTGACAAAAGATAAAAAAATAGTAATAATAACTGAAAAATCATTAAAGCTCGGAAGAAAAAGAAAACTCTAAGGATAATTTATAATTTTCTCCATTCTAAAGTTCCAGATTCTTTTTATTTTAACCAGAATATAAATATATTTAACAACCTAAATAAAGCTTCAGATGTCCAGTTTCCTTTCTTAGAGTACTAAAACTTTCTTATTTAAATGTAAAAGTACTTTGAATGAATTAATGTTAGGTTTCAGGTTTTATTGCGTGACTTAGAAGAGAATTTATTCATTAACTGAAGGCGCTTTGAAATAAGTTTCTTCCAACTTTCGAAATTTTTAATATTTTATTTTCAAAGCTATTTTTTGATTTTTATTTCAACCCAGAACTCTGTAATAATGACTGGTGACTAGTTTCTTAAACATTTATTCCTAAAGTCCATACGACATTTAAAGTGGAAGCGACTTACTGTTTAAAATTGTTTTATTTTGTCTTATTTATGAAAATATTTCCAGATCCTTTAAAGATTTTGATTAATATTTTAATTTCCATCCAAACTTCTTGCTGGTTAAGTGATTTTTAAACTATTATATCAAATTTCGAAAGATAAACAAAATCCATTGTTACCATTTACTTTTATTATTATTATTTTTTGAAAATAATTACATTTTTTAAATCTTAAATTAAGAGTTTTTAAAATTAGTTTCGGTTATGAGATTTTCTTCAGACAGAATTGATTATGGAATCGATAATGATATGTTGATTGTTTTAATTTATTACTGAAAATAATTTAAGAACCTTCGAATTTTTTAATTAATATTTTATATACTTGCTAGGTAAATAGTTGACTAAATTATTAGGCAAAATTTGAAAGAAAAAGAAAATTCTTGGTTCCAATTGTGTTTGTTTATTTTGTGCATAATTAAATCCTTTGATAGTGTAACTCTTTAACCTAGCGAGTGGTGAAGTATAGCCATTTCTGGCTCTTATGCCAATTAACTGTTAACCTACCAATCAAAAAAAAAAAATTTATCTAAAACTTTCTATTTTTTTTTCTGATATGTATAATGCTTTTATTGAGAATCTGAAGCTTCTAATAAAAATACGAAAAATTCTTTCAGAAATAATCAATATTATATTTAGTCAAATGCGATATGATAATTTTCGATAGCTTTTAACATTGTCGATTCATGTAAACGCTTTTAAAATCTATAAAAATAAATGCACAGAAAGCTAACCAAAAAGCAAAACTTAGTGAAAGTAGCAATTTTTTCATACAAATTTGTTCTTTATACATCACTTACAAAAAAGGTTATTAAATGATATGCCAATACATTTTTATTGATTTTTTCAGAAACAAATGTCCGACAAAAGTTTTGTTCTGAAACTTAAATAAAATTTTTTAAAAAAACATTCGTGTAACTTCTTTGAAAGTTTTTTTTACCGATCGTTGACAACAACCATGATTACATCAGCAAAATTTGTATCAGATCTAGAGCAAATAAGCGTTTGAAGCGTTGATTTTATTGTTGAACCAATCGATGTCTTTATCGGACTTTTGCAGCAGCAAGTGGATATTAGTTATTGGAATCAAATAATATTCCTTTTGCGAACAAAGAATTCCAATAAAGGGTGTGGTTTAGGATAATATTACGATGGTGTTTAGATATAATGGCTTTTAATCATAGTTTTTGTTCCCTTTCAGTAAACTTACTTTATAACATCAGAAGTTTTATTACATGATTAGTTAACTACCAGCTTCTACGCAGCTTGAATATAATTTAATGTCAATTGTACTTTTTTCAGGAGATAATTTGGTGTTTTATGAGCACTCCTGTTAATAATCTGTCTCACAGACGGCGCTCTGTGCAGTAATGTAAAAGTTAATAAGTATTCAGATTCCATAGAGACACTGTAACGTTGACATCATTCTTCGTTATTGTTATAAAATTTATTTTTCTTTCGTGAAGCGTTTAGTTACAACTTATGCAACTCACTCATCTTACATGGGTTAACAAAATGCGGATTTACGAATAAATAATCATTGATTCCGAGATTGTTGCATTTCACATTGGCATCCAACATGGGGCTCAAACCTGTGACCCGAGACTCAAATGTGAAATACGATAATCTCAGGGGCAATAGTTATTCATTTTTTTAATCTTGAATCCGCATTCAGTTTATCCATATAACATGAGTCAGTTAAAAAAGTTATAACAAAACACTTTATATTGCAGTGAATTTTTTAATTACATTGACGAACCGTTACAGTGTCTCTATGGAATCTGAATATTAATTAACTTTTACATCACTGCGAAGAACGCCATCTGTGAGACATATATTTAACAGCTCCGGTGGCGTAGGCCTAGCTCACAGCACTTGGGGGAATTAGGATCGTGCGTTTGATCCTAGCAGCTGCCTGAACAGCCAGCTTGCATATGCACCACGGTTTGCGTTAAATCTGCCGCAGCTGAAAGTACTGTCGTTAGTGTGGATTTTGGGAAAGAGGGATAGCCTCGAGTTCTGCCCAGGTCTGCTGACCGGGGTCAAAATTATGTGCCGTTCTATCCATGGCTGTTGGAAAAACACCCTAAAAACAGGCCTAAGTGTTTAGGCATGCTTGAGTCGCTCTGTATTTAATGATACTAAACTTTTCAGTACAAACTACCACTCATCGGATTTTTTTTTTCTTCAAATTTACGAAAAACGCTTGATTTTTTTTTATTTCTGAAAATTAATATATGTTCTACCCGAAATTTACAAATGCAAATTTCTTTGTCAGCAAGCAGTTTTTTGCTTGACGTATTGGTAGGGAAATATTTGTTGTCCGGTTCACTGATCTTCAGTTTTCTCTGCAATGCAGCCAAGCTTTATCTTTAAAAAAATACACTGTGTTAATATATTTATTAACTCTATTGCTTTAAGTTATTTAAGATGAAAATCTGCACAAAATAATTATTAAAATTAGATAAAATATATTTTGGAAAATAATTTTCGAACCTTACAGTTAAAACAGTTTTACAGTCAGTCTTTGGCATCAGAGCATGAAAATCACATTTATCACTAACTCTAATGCAGTAATACAACACTAATGAAAGCGAAATTACAGACAGTACAAACTGATTTTGATTTCAATTCAAGGCGAGAAATCTCACTGTGAAAATTGTGGGACTAGTTGCTCTCTACGTCTTAGCAATATCAAAAATACAAAAATAATCGCGGGATTTAAAGAGACTTACAGGAGGAATTCAGTAGCGAGGAATTCAATTTCAATGATGCAACTTTCCTCTTCGTCGCATAACATGCGACGCCAGTAAAAAAGGAGTTAAATACATCATTTATTCTTTTTTTTCCCTTAGAAATAGACAAATTTGCAAACTCTTGCATGAACATAATCTTTCATTCAAGAAAGGAGGTATAATTCTTAACATAATTTCGCATACATTGCAGAATTTAGTTTTTATTTCCTCATAATCAAAGTAACCTCATTTAGAAACGATCACTCCCTTCCACATCCAGGAAACTTATTTCTCTAGATTGTGCGAATATTGACATTAAACTTACTCCTGTATGTAATTTCGGCTTCTAATATTTATTTTTTAAGCATTTTTGCCAATGATTCACCTAACACCGAGTGAAAAGTAAAAAAATAAAGTAAAGCATTTCCACTACAGCCTATTGTAGGCCAAGGGGTCATATAGATTCTGACAAAACTACATTACTTATAATTTTGCTGTTTTTCTATATGTGTTTTACTACTTTAAATAAGTTATTTTGCTACTTTATATAAATATTTATTGTCAACTTTTTACTATGAGTTTGGTACATAGTTTTAACCTGCATTTGGATCTTCAAACTGCACATTCAATCCAATCAACAAAAATTAAATTAAAAACGAAAAGTTTTTATCATAAGTATTTTTTATGGATCTATAACTAAATAAAGGAAAAGAAATTCTTATATCAAAATTTTAAGAATTTTTGTTTATCTTTATATTTACAAAAAAAATTGAAAGTTACTGGCATTTATAATGCATGTTTTAATCTATTCATTTAAACAGTATATTTAAAAATCCTTTTATATTTTTAATGGATTTAACTTTTGAAATAAGTTTTTAAATAAATTTTAAGTAAAACTTTTTTTTAAATAATTTACAAAATTTTTATCTTTGTTTTTCAGGTTAAATGCAAGAAAAGCATCATAAAAGCATTTAAGTAATATTCAGAATTTTCAAAAGTCCACTGTAAAGGAAAATATCTTCTTTAAAGAAAGCCAGAAATCAAGTGTCATATGCAGCTGAAAATGTTGACATTTGTAGATGGAGCACAAACAATGCTGATGAAAACACCACAGCTCAAACGTAGATTGAATAGTTAATATATTCTTGTGACTTATTCAAAAACTATATCTCAGACCACTCTTTCAAGCTTTTCAACATGTCATCAACTCATTCCAGTGCCAAATCTCACGAAAATCTATTAAGCCCCAGGCCTAAATGCCGCACAGAAAACATCCCTGTTGAAATAGGCTACCACTTTAACAGAGCAACAGCTCAAACTCGAATTAAACCTCTGGGGCAAAATCGCATTCACACCTATGGTACAGACAATGCATTCACGACATCAGAATCAATATCATCTGTGCAGACAGAAAGACAGTTGCTGAAAAACATGATAGTGCTAGGACTAGGGTTTGTTTTTACATTCAGCGCACTATCCGCTCTGCAGAGTCTGCAGAGTTCTCTATTTCTCGAGACCATAATCGGATTACATTCTTTAAGTGTTTTATACGGTTTGGCAGCATTCTCGTCTTTATACGGTCCAATATTTGTTCAAAAAATGACGCCAAACTGGACTGTCGTTCTCGCATTCGTTCTCATCGCCCTTTATATTTCTACATTTTTCTACCCAAGAGCATACACTTTGTTGCCAAGTGCCGTCCTGCTTGGTCTCTCTTTTGGTCCTTTGTTCTGCGCTCAGACCACATTTCTGATGCAATTGGTATCCAGAATGGCTTATTTAACGGATGGCATACGCGACAAAGTTCAGCAGCGGTATCTTCGGCTTTTCTACTTCTTTTACAACTCTAGTCGAATATGGGGACATCTAGTCACTGCCCTCTTATTGCGATATGGTGGCGATGTATATGTCTTCTCAACTCTCCCTCAATATCCCAAATTCCATGCGAGTGGACCACATTTCCCAATGATGGACATGCATATGTCGCCATCCTTATATGCCACTGTTGCCAGACCAAGTCTTTGCACTCTGGATCATATCACTGAGGACGGTATCTTTCGAAGCCCCGCTTCTTACGTGTTTTATGTACCCTCTAATCTTTATCTGATGATAATATCAGTTTTCCTTGGCTTGGCATTTCTTGGTTTGGCTACTGTGACTACCCTGCTAGACAAGTTTGACTTGTACGTGTCTCAAGATCCACTGGAGCGACCACCTATTCTTCTTAGTTTCCGGAAGGTTATTCTGTCTCTGATAGATCCCCAGCTACGGCTTATGCTTCCCATGATAATTTTTATTGGTTACGAGCAAGGATTCATGATTGCTGATTTTACGAGGGTAAGATATATTTTGCATGCAGTTTATATAAAATTATCCTTAAATTTGGAAATAGGAAAATTTGTCACCTATTTATTAAAAATTAAACAACTGAACACTTGAAAACAGAAACATAATCAAAAAATTTTATTTTATAAGCATGATAAAAGAATTAGGCATGCTTACTTACATTTTTCTGACAATAAGAAAATTTTAAACTTTACGCAATAACATTTCTATAAAATATATACCTTTTTTTCCACTTTTAATGATGTCTTTATCTCTCCAAAAAATATTTAAAAATTGCAAAGTTAATATTGAATGTTATGGACGAGTTTGGCCTACCGTCAGACAGTGATACAAAGAAAAATAACTATAATATTGGTTTATTTTTCAATTTATAAAACCAAGTGTCTTTATTTCTAACTTAAATCACATAACTTAAGTGTATTTTTTATTACTTCATATTTATTAAGTTTTAATAAGCTGATGGATGATATTTAGTTTTTAAAAATAAATCTGAGAAACAGGCATCAGAGTTTATGATTCCAAATAAGTAAAAATTAAAAATTCAGTCTTAGAATTAGTATAATTTATCCTTAGGGTTTTTGCAAAAACACACCCATCACAAAAAAATATACCAGAATAAATGTAACATTGTTTTTAAAGAAGTGTTTACTGAATACATTTAAAAAAAATTTTTAAAAAAGGCTTTTAAACCAAAGTATTAAAATATATATCTTTTATAATCAATTTAATTATGGTTTAGGAAAGTAAAATGATTGATTTATATAATATTTAATCACGCAATATTTAGTTTTAACAATCGGAAAATGTATAGTTCTACCTTTATAAAAGGCAAGAGGGAATACTGCAATTATAGTTTTGTTAATGTGTTCTAAAATTCATTATTTTTGTGAATTAGATAATAATAATTTACATGTTGTTACAAAAAGTATTAATTCAATAATTTAAACCATTTTTAAAGCATTGTATTTTATACAAAACACTTAATATATCATAAATATCTTTTTACGTTTTAGCTTTTAACTATCTTAAATTAAATTTCTTAACTATCTTAAATTAAATTTCTAAGCCACATAACACCTGCATTCTGGATTTTTTAGCTTGCTGCAGCAAAAATAATTAAACTCGTCTACAAACGAGGTGATTCAGTACAGAAGTTAAAATTTGGAGAGAGGGTACGGCATATATCATAAGCATTCAGAATTACCTTGCAAGCCATATCCGAAAATGTGATAGTACACCACTAGGGGCGCCTTTTTTTATGACCTATGAAATAATAGCATTTGAAATGGTACTTTTATTTATCTATATTATCATAATTTTATATTGATTTTACGTTTTCTACTAATGATTTTCAAAAATTACATTCACACAAGTCCAGAAATAGCCATTTTACATAAGTTAATATTTTTGCGACAAACGTCTCAAACTCACCAAGTTAGTGCCAAAATGATATTATTGCAATAAAAAGACAATTCTTGGACCGATTTGAATGCAATTTTCGTCTATAATTACTAGAAAGCGTAAATTTAACTGAAAATTAAGATAATTTAAATAAATAAAAGTGTTTTAAATGCTCATGAACAGCTTGTCCTTAAAAGAAAGCCGTCCCTAGCAGCATATTTTGACATATCTTTACGTGAGTTTCTATGTAATTCTCAATCCTTATGATATGCTTATATGCCGAGCTTATAGCTAGCTGCTGTACTAAAAGTTACCCTGTATTTGATTCATTTCATAACCGTTCAATATTTTCATGACACTGTAATGGTCAAAAAAATTCATACTCTAAATTTTTTATTCATATGCTAACCAATTAACCCCACTCCTTAGGTTTATTTTCCAAATATATATGCTGTGTATAAAGTTTTGAATATACGTCAAAAGAAATGAAAAATAAAATTTTTAAGTATATTTTAATTACAATCGTTGTTTTCTCTAGTCATAAAAAATGAATGACATCTTTTCAAATTCAGCGTTCAAAACATTCGAATAAATTGCTTCTCTATTTAATATTCTTCAGATAGATGTAAACTTTTCTCAAAAAATTTTTTTTAATAAATCAGTTTCTTTATTTCTTCTTCATTTATCACCGAAGCGATAAAATTCTAGGAATGAAACTTTTATGAATGCAGAAAAGGATGTTTCAGTAAGTGTCCGTCTTTTACATTCCCGACACTTTAGAAAATGAAACTAATCTTTTCAAAACTAAAATAAAAAATAAAAACACAATTTCAGAGCTTAAAAGAGAATGAAATTAATTATTGTATGGGTTCTAATGCCATTTGCAAAGAGTCGTATTCAATTTTAAGGGTTGTTAACGAACTTTTTTTTCATTTGCGATGCCTTTAAATTGAATCACATTTTGTGACACCATGCTTACTGTTAATGATGTTAATTAACGCGGAGAGTCGAATTTTCTACGCTGATTTGCTGCCCTCGTTAAGAAGCTTATTGTTCTGACTTTTCAATTATTTGCAACGAATCGTTAAATTTAACACCAATTGTATTCGGAAGAATTTCTCGAAAGAGTCGTCTCCTGTAAAGAGTGGAATTTAATTTTTAAGAAATGTGAAATATCTTTTTCTCCTGTATATGACTATTTAAATTTAAAGAAACTTATTTCATTTGTATTATTGTTTGCTATTCAACGGTAAATAAACATGAAATACTTAATAATAATTATATAATTAGAATTTGCCATCTTAGATAACCTTATTATTATTTATAGCTTTTCATAGATTAATATCATTCGTGTATCGATTCTAATGTCATCTGCAAAGAGATGTAATCAACTTGAACACTATAAAAAAAGGTTTCTAAAAATTGAACAAAAATGTGACAAAGTAGCTTTGAAACAAATATTCAAATTTTAAAACCCCATCTATTCAAAATTCAAACAGCATGTACATTCTTGAAAAAAAATGCATAATCTCAAAAGTGTTGTGGAGAAAGAAATGTATGAGGGATATGTTTCATTGGCTGCCGGCAGGATTCGAAATCTGGATCTTCGAAATCGCAGTAGGATGCTCGATCCAGCATAATTGTACAATGCACAAAAAAAAATCGAACCCTGAGTAACTTTTTACTTAATGATCTGATCTTATCTTTACGTTCTAGGACTCATTCGTAAAGGCTCGGGGAGGTGATCTCAAATATGCTAAATAATTAGTGCAGACTATATTTTCAGTTACGAAATCAGACACAAATACTTACTTTCCTGAACAAACGCACCTATTTTTTAACGGATTCTGATTTCTGATCCAAAAAATACAGCAATCTGGGAAATATGGCCCCCATAGTTTGGTCGGGAGCGCGATTTAAAGTTTGGACCCCTTAATGTTAATTTTAATTCTTGCGTATTTCGCTGTATCTAAAAAACTTTTTGAGCGAATTCAAAAATGTTTGCTCACTAGTATAAAATTCGTTTATTTACAGATACCATGCAAAAAGTAAATTTTTGTAAATATTTATTATTTTTATTATTTTATTTCCTGATAGTCGAAACAATTTTGAATTGTAAGGTATACACTTTTTTACATAATTTTAAAGAGGGCAATTTTAAATGTTAAAATATAAATTTGAGGGAAATCGGTCGAATAGTTCCAGAGAAATCGAATTTTAAATATACGATTTCTTTAAAACTGTGGCATTTCCGTACCAAGAAAATGACACTGAGTAAAATAAAAATTGCTTGCAAAAAATACACTACTACGATAACACTTTGAAGTTAATGGAAGTAACCCCTAGGAACGACCAACTTCCATTAACGACTATTTTATTGTGGAACAGAGAGTGGTCACACCTGAGAGGTTTCACTGTATTATCTGGATTACAATTTCTTGTTGCGTTATCCTTTGGTTCGCGGTGAATAATATTTTAATTTAAGAAACTCTAAATCGATGTTTACTTTTGTATATTGTATATCCGCTGTAATGGGACAACATTTCTACCTTTCTTTTGTTAATAAAAAAAAATTCAATACACTTATTAATATTTTTACTAAGCCGTTAATGCTACCACTATCCTCACATTCCTTTAAGCTTAAAATATCATTGTTAGTGATTTCATCATTACATTCACATTGTTGACTTTCGGAACTCATCACAATTCACAATTGAACAGCACATGCGTAGCAAACATCATATAATTGGCGAATTTTGAAGATTCTGGGGTACTAAGATATTTTCCATTGCTGAGCAAATATCTGTAATGTGTACCTTTGTATTCAAACAGAAATGTTTTTTCTGTTGCAGAGCAAATGTCTGTATTGCGTACCTTTTTCATTCCAACAGAAAGATTTTTTTTTATTGCAAGGCAAATATCTGTAATGTGTACCTTTGCATTTTAACAGAAATGTTTTTTCCATTGCAGAGCAAATATCTGTAATGTGTACATTTGCATTCCGACAGAAATGTGTTTTTCTATTGCAGAGCAAATATCTGTAATATGCAACTTTGCATACCAACAGAAATGCTTTTTTTTTCTATTGCAGAGCAAATATCTGCAATGTGTACCTTTGCATTCCAACGGAAATGTTTTTCAACATTAACTATGAAAAGGAATTCGTAGTTAATCTTGAAATCGCAGTTAGAAATCGTAGTTTATCATTAAGATTAACTTTTCAGTTTTGTATGTTTTATTAAATTCGTGGTAATAAGAACGCTGGTTTTCAAAACGTGAATTTACGGTAAACAGTAATCATATGTGTAGAAAAATTACCACATGAACGGTTTAAATACTTTATATTTTGGTTCTATTAACCATAATTGGGTATTTTTACTACCATTACCATACAGTATGGTAATTTTACCAGAATTGTTTTCTCCGTTTGGATAAGCTGTCAGTCAAACCACACACATCAGTTTTAGGAAGATTTTCAATTTTTTTTTATTTCCAATTTCTTGCTAACTTTTAAATACTTATTCTTTGTTCTACATAATTTAATGTTGTGGTAAGGAACTATAACTTTGTCTATAAAAATATTTTTTCAC